ACTTTTCTTCTTTCTCATCCTCCACTCCATTCCTCATCCCTGTCACCCATCTCCCTTGAATCGGCTCAAAGTATATGACTGTTCCGTTTAATTGTGCGTTGTGAATGATATGTGTACAACTCGCTGCTTTTAATGTGACCAGAAATCCCTTTTTCGATATATATTTTTATCCCTCTTTGTATATCAATAAAACCCTATCTTTTCCTTTAACTCAACCCCATCAAGTAGTCGTGTTGTTATGATTCTTGGTAATCCCTGGCAGATTTTCGTACTCAACCCTAGTAGGATTCATAAAGTCTGGGTTTCGAGGCATAGTACCCTGGATCTGTTGTTAGACTCTCAACCGTTGCTGCGTGCAAAAATTAAATAAGAATCAGATCCATTGGTGGTGGTACGGCGAGTTTCTGATCCGGTGGACTAGCCGCTCCACACTACTATATTTATTAACATTAATCAGCCAATATAAAGTAGTTCCCCCTACATTATCGGTAACCCTGTTTGTGAGATCCGCGCTTAATAGTCCAGTATTTATCAACTATCGTACTCTGTGATTTGTTCTGGATACGCTAACTAGCACTCTGCTCACGCTCACAGCGCTTCCCCCCCCACTCACGCACCCCCTTCATGCTCCTCTTACCACCGTTGCGATGGTGAGTCTCGAAACAATTTGGAGCACCCCCGCGCCCACGCTTGCGATAAAGCGTCCGTGCATGCACTGACTATTAATTTAGGTTCTCATAATCATGGCTTTTCGCACAGGTACTACGCATCTCCTACAAGTGTGTCGCCCCGCTTGGCCAGCGTGGTCAGCGTAGGAGTGTGAAGCCGCTTAAATCTCTTAACTCACTGACTGCCAAGGAATTTTCAGTTTTGAGTAAGTGCATTCTGCCAGCAATTTCAGGAGATTGGACCTTAACTTTGAAGTGCCACAGAAATATTCATGTTTTTAGACGATGTAAACTCATGGGCACCAAATTAAAGAGTTCACCTCTCTGCTTTACTCTGAAAATAAACATGTTTGTTTCTATCTTCTTACCGTTTTCTGTGACGTTGAGTTCGCCACTAGAACAAAGCCTACTTTCAACCCATAACACCTGTATGAGCAAGAAAAAGCAGAGGAAACGAGCTGTTATGTAAACAGGAAAACATATCAATGCAGAAAAAGAGACTTTAGATGCATTTTTGCTGCTTTTGTGACAACTCAAAAAACATCTCCACACTTGTTCCTATTACAAAATTATAAAAACATGACTCTGATAATAATACTTTTGATGGCAAATTGTTGGCATTTTATTCACAGATAGAAAATTTAACTTTCTTCTATACCATCAACCAAAACGTCAAAACAACAACAACACAAAGATCAATAAAAAACTATAGATGTATAAAATAGAATGAAAAATTGTGAATTTGAGTGTGTGTGTGATGTCAGTGTGCGAAGGTGAGTGTCTGTAGTGAGTGAGTGTACTGTGTGTGTGAATGTCAGTGTGTGTGAATGTCATGTGTGCGAAGTGTGTGTCTGTGTGCAGGTGTTGTGAGACATTGCTGCATTAGCCAGGTTGAATAGTCTGTAAACTCTGCATTCCTTCTCTAGCCTGCATGTCGCTGGATGATACCGCATTATTATGTTTATCCTGCTCACTCTCTACAGCTAGTTTACAGTAACACCATCTGTGTGTTGTGGATGTTTAACAAAACACTTGCACTCGCCGCACACCCCCGCCCCCTCTCCTAGCCACATGATAATAACACAACTGCTTGTGGTAACTACATCAGTCCTATTACTGTACACCCTGCTCCTGCATGATTGGCGTCAGTTATTGTTGATCCACTATCGCGTGTGATGATTTTCGTGACAGATATCTGCACTCGTCGACCCACCTCAGTATGGCTGGAAATTTAACACTCTAACTATGCCCATAACTAGATCTATGTTTTGATGTAGTACTACATTCAACAAGACTAATATCTCTATTTCTAACCCTGCCACAGTCGCTAAAAACCTGCATTACCTTGCCTCAGTCCTGCTGCCTTTTTTGCTACTGCTTACTGGAGCTGCGTCTAAAGCTACGCCGCGCCACGAACGCAGGTGCGTCACAAACGCAGGTGCGTCACAAACGCAGGTGCGTCACAAACGCGCCTCTAACGCTGCGTCTCTAACGCTGCGTCTTAAGCCGCGCCCATCGCGCTGCATCTTAAGCCGCGCCCATCGCGCTGCGTCTTAAGCCGCGCCCATCGCGCTGCGTCTTAAGCCGCGCCCATCGCGCTGCGTCTTAAGCCGCGCCCATCACGCTGCGTCTTACGCCGCGTCCGTCACGTTGCGTCTTACGCCGCGTCCGTCACGCTGCGTCTCTAACGCTGCGTCTTAAGCCGCGTCTTAAGCCGCGCCCATCGCGCTGCGTCTTAAGCCGCGCCCATCACGCTGCGTCTTAAGCCGCGTCTTAAGCCGCGCCCATCGCGCTGCGTCTTAAAGCCGCGCCCATCACGCTGCGTCTTAAGCCGCGCCCATCGCGCTGCGTCTTAAGCCGCGCCCATCACGTTGCGTCTTAAGCCGCGTCCGTCACGTTGCGTCTTAACGCTACGTCTCTAAAGCCGCGTCTTAAGCCGCGCCCATCGCGCTGCGTCTTAAGCCGCGCCCATCACGCTGCGTCTTAAGCCGCGCCCATCGCGCTGCGTCTTAAAGCCGCGCCCATCACGCTGCGTCTTAAGCCGCGTCCGTCACGTTGCGTCTTACGCCGCGTCCGTCACGCTGCGTCTCTAACGCTGCCGTCTTAAGCCGCGTCTTAAGCCGCGCCCATCGCGCTGCGCCTTAAGCCGCGCCCATCGCGCTGCGTCTTAAGCCGCGCCATCACGCTGCGTCTTAAGCCGCGCCCGTCACGCTGCGTCTTAAGCCGCGTCCGTCACGCTACGTCTTAAGCCGCGTCCGTCACGCTGCGTCTTACGCCGCGTCCGTCACGTTGCGTCTTACGCCGCGTCCGTCACGCTGCGTCTCTAACGCCGCGTCCCCCTACGTGCGCCGACGCCACTAACCCCAACGCTCTCCGCTGACACACAGGTGAAGACGCACTAACGCCGGCCCCTGTCCTAGGCCGCCCACTCGCATACACCGCCACACGGAGAGGACGCTGTAGTCACGACTTTGACACACACCAAGGTTTGCACCACCACACGAACAGCTGTGCTACCCTCTCTATAGCACCGCTTTCCTCCTTTCCCCCTCCCACTGTGTCATGCACACACGTTCCAAGTCATACTCGCATACACTCACCCACACAAATATGGAGACCGATGGCGGAAACTCGCCACGACCGAGCGAGCACAACAGTGTCGTGGAGGAACACGACGTAGTGGATAACTTTCTGCGCGACTTCACAGAGAAGTTATCCCCAGGAACCTACGACATGCTTGAGCACGGCTCACCCTCTGACTTACTAGATGCCACCTCCACATTGGCATCCGAGGCTATCACGAAGAAACTAGAAGGTAAGACCCTGACCCAGTGGCTGGGACAGCTAGCCACGGTCTCCAGAATAACCTTACGCGACTCCGAAGCCCAGAACCAAAGGCTTCAAGACACGGTAGGTGAACTGGAACGGCAACTAGCGGAAGCTAAGAGGTCCGCCGCGAGCCGCTTGGAACCAACCCAACAGGTAAGTGGGAACCACCAACCGGGACTTAACACGATTCCAAGCGCGACCATGGATCTAGATCGCGCAGCGAGAATCAGGGCCGCTATTTCGAACGGAACCGGCCGAGATAGTGCCTCCGGCGCACACTCCCCTCACTCCGACCGTGGCGAACCATCGTCCGAGAGTGAACGCAGGAGCGTGGCCGAACTGGTAAGTATCATCACGGGAAAAGACCAGAACCAAGGTCAAAGACACGATACACCACCCAACAGTAACAATCGGAACAGGTCCCAACGGTCCGTCGATGACGAACCCGATCGCGTTGCGCGCAACCACCACCATACAACGGGACCGCCCGCAACTACAGCCAACCCTCAATACTACGTTAGACACATCGACCACTTTGACCCCAGACTCGACCCACCGACGAGCCAGGCGACGTACCACGTGACAGACCGCTCACGGGTCCCCGGGGACCCCTCCGCCTATGAGAGACAACCCCCGGCCGGACCCGCCGCAGCACACCGGCACGTTAAACACGAAACGCATGGCCACCAGACCCATACACACGGACTGACCATGGACCGCGACGAACAAACGGCCAACAGCCCGCCATTGGGACGGTGGAGACCACCTCAACCAGGGACGGGACTCCCACGCCGCCCCTCCGGGAACACACATGGACATGCGACGCAGCCAACATGACTACCCGACCCATGACTCTGACCCACCTAACGTCCATACGAGACATGTTTCAGACTACCGCCATTGGGACGAAAGGGCCCGCCCTGAACATGGCGGACAACCCTACAACGACCCCCCTGGCCCACATCAGTACATGCTACATGGACCACACGACATACGGTACCCTGAGCCTGGGCCGCCCGCATATGCTGCGGCACAACGGCCAGTGATCCGCCATGGGAACGCCGGGGACCTCCCCAATCATGGAGGACAACCCAACAGCACCCCCCCGGACACACGCCAGGACTTGACCCCAGGGCAACGACACTACCCGGACTATAGAGGACGCGACGCCCGCTACGCGCCCCCGATAGGTCGAGACCCGCTCGGACCATCCGACCGCGACTTCGACCGCATAGCTAGACACATAACCCGCTTTGACCCCCGGCCCGGCATACCTACAAACACACTCGGTCATACCCTCCGCGTCGTCGAATTCCACGCCGACCGCATACCACACGCATCCCAAGATGACAAAATATTCTTGATTAGACTCACGTCCAATGGTGAGGTGAATGACTTCATCGAAAGGCAACCAAAGGCTATAAAACACGACTACAACGAGCTCTGCAAAGCCATCCTAGCAGAATACTCAGACTCGGCGCCTCCGGGACCCTCACGGCAGCCATGGCAGTCAAACAAGCTCACAACGAGCTTGCGGAATGCTACTACCACAGATTGCGACAGGCCTTCTTCGGCAACCGAAACTACGAAGGGATGGAGGAAGACACGAATTTCAGGGCCCTGTACCTCCAAAACCTCCACCCCAACCTTAGCCAGCTACTAGGCGTGTACGCCTGCCCCCTTACACAGGACATACGGCAACTGAAGACCCTGGTGGCACGAGCACAAGGCAAACATCTGCTCAAGACACAGGCGAAGCCGCACACCCAACCTACAGTGTACAGCGTGGAAAACCACATGGAACTGGAAGGCGCACCAACGGCCCGGAAACACAAATGGGGAACCGACCACGGACCCCAGAGGAATAACCACAAACACACGGACCCGAAGAACGGACAGCCACGCGACCAGCACCTCCCGCAATACGGCGAGAGACGCGCCGGCCAGGCCGACGGGAAAGACCGCGCGCCACAACGGTCCCACCAAGACCGCACTGCCACAACCATTAATAAGGACAACCTTTCTAGGGAGGAACAATCCCTCCTCCGCACGCTCCTGCGCAAAGCCAGAGAGAAGCCAGACAACGCCGACGTGTTCGCAGTGTCCGTGTCGGATGACGCCGAGAACGCTCCCTACCACATGGACGACGGCCTCGGCGGACAGGAGCTAAATGACGACTACTCAAACGCACCAACGGTGGACACCTGCTACGACCAGAGGGATGTCATGGTAATACAGGTAAACTCCATCACAGACCCACGAGAGGACGGCCCCTCGACAACCATCTGCGAACCACCGTTCCACCAATTCATGGGCGACCTACAACAAAGAGGTACCTACGGGAAACTCTACCTGCCCGTAATACTCGAAGACCAATGGGAACACGAGGCGCTCGTGGACACAGCTGCCGATATCAGCCTGATTGGCGAAGACCTCTTCGGTAAGTTACAGTCTATGGCCAGTAAATCCCACAGACACCTAAAAACGCAGCCATGCGACTTAGGAAATAACACCCTATTCCCAGGTGGATACGACCATACGTAAAATGGCTCTAATGCGACTGACCGTGGGCCCCATGACACTGGTCCACCCGGTCTACATCTCCCCATTCAACACGCATCCGCTCCTATTGGGCCAGGACCTTCTAAATCGGTTTAAGCCCCTAATAGACTACCAACGTCTAAAGATCTGGACACAGGTCCGGGAGCCCTTGCCCATCCCACGCCCGTTGGGCGAAAACCACCGCTACTCCATAGACGCGCCGCCCACGAACGGCCCACAGCCCGCCGCGGCACAACCTGAAACCGATCAGGGGACGCCCACAACCGCGCGAACGCCACGCGCACGGCCCCCGACCTCGACAGGTCGGACTTAGCCTCCCCCCGACATGCAGACCCCACACTGGAACGCCCCTTCGACGTCATGATCGACACGACGCTCGGAACCCCCGGCCGTGATGAAGAAAATACTGCCGATACGCCATGGGCTGTTAGATTCTGCTTCCGATACACTCACTTCGTCGGTACTCGTGGTGCCTCGAAGCATGAGGGGGGTAATGTTGGCACACGCCCATGACGCACCTACCGCGAAACAAACAGGTATAAACAACACACGTCAGGCACTACAACAGGTAGAAACGACGGACCGGACGGTGACCGAAACACCAAGGTACGTATCCCCAAACCGGAGTGACGAGAATGTGAAACTCCCCCGGCTCCTGAGGACAAACCAATACAGGACCGACCCGCAGGACCACCTCCAGGTCAAAAACCAGGTATGGTATTACACCTTGGCACATTCCCCAGGACACATGGGAACCGGCCCCACCAGACTACGCCGGAAACCGCGACCCCGCTGGTCAAGACCATACAGGGTGGGAAACAAACTCTCAACCGCAGTGCACCAAATCGAGGTCACAAAAGGTAGAGAGCCCACCCTCAGATGGGCCCGTTACAGCCAAACCAAACCACACAAACAAAGCCCCATGGGACAAGCAGGGCACACCACAAACCCCAGTTAGGAACACACCACGTGACCTCAAACACGATTAGTCCAGCACCCACTAACACTCTTCTCGGCTGCACTAATCGACTCTCTCTTTCTCTGTCCCTGTCTAACCCCTAACAGTTGTTTCACGCCTTGCAGAACATGTGGTCCACTTTCCTTCTCGTGCTGACCTGCATACTGGGCCTCGGCACCCCAGAAATTATTGAGACCGGACCAGCCTCCGGGATCGTTTTAAAGGAACAACCCGGGCTCCTCATCACGGACGTCCGACTCCACACACAGCGAATCTTTGTCAGACTCAATCCTAGTGAAGTCTGCCGCAAGAACCTGCCCTTGAAAGGTCACACTCAAAGATTGGGCAGGTGCACGCTGGACCCAGACGGTCGTGGAACATGCTGAGGCAGACATACAACACATGCTGACGCAACTAGAGAAGTTCACGATCACTAGGACAGAGCTCAGTGACCCTCGCCCCAGACCCAAACGATTTATTGGGGCTCTCCTCGGCGCGGCGTCCGCCCTGGGCACCCTCTTTAGTTTAGGGATGTCCACGGTAAACGCCATCAGCCTATCCTCCCTCAGACGCCACCAACAAGAAATGGCCTCTGAGCTCGAGGATGTCAAAACCAGACTTGACCAACAACAGAACGACGTGGTAACCTTGGGAAAATCCCTAAAAGGAACCATGCTAGTACTTAACACACACGAGGTTGCGCGATTTAAACGCACCTCCGCTGCGGTCAACCAACTCTTAGACGTCCTCCAACTAGACTACGCCCATACTCAGCTGACCACCCAACTGATGGAGGACATGCTACGTCACCTCAGTTCCTCGATCGAAAACCTAGCCATGGGCCGTATCCCGCCATACCTCGTGCCGCTATCGTTAGTTGAGAACATTCTAGCCGTAGCCACACGGGACGCCGTAACCCCCATGCAAGCCCACTTAGCGTACACGCTGGGCGCTGCAGTCCCCATCTATGTTAATCCTCTGGACCGCGAGGTAGCCTTTCTAGTCACCCTACCGATAGTTCCCGGCGACAAAATCTACCGACTAAAAGGGATCACTAACCTAGGGACTTGGAGGGACAATGCCCACGTCAGAGTCCAGACCCCAGACATAGTAGCCTACCACGACAGTAACCCCAATTTATACCTAACGCCAAACCTAAGGATGTGTACCCTCACCAAGGACATCCATTACCTCTGCCCCAGCAAACCTTTCGTCAGGGACAGCACCGATGGCATCTGCGGCCTGAGGCCCATGACTCCAGGGAGTCGATGCCCCGCGACGGTCACCTCTCGGAAACAAATAACCGAAACTAGAGCAGAGATTGTAGGGGCACGCTGGCTAGTGAACACTCCCCTTAGAACGGCGACCCTGACCTATGACAAACACGACACCTCGTCCCGAGTAAGCCTCCCGGACGAAACCTTTTGGGTCGACGTCCCAGCCGACGCTATCCTGCACGTAGGCGACCTGGCATTATACCACCTGTATCCGAACCAGTACGAGGCAGAGGTCGAGATACCAGAGTTCTTTGAGGAAAGGGCCTTGGAACTTCAACCCTCTACCCTAGTCCAAGCCACCTACGAGGGGGCACAAACCGTTGACGTTACGGTCGTAGACAATCTCCTTCAAGAGATTGCCAAGCGACCGACCATCCACCACCAACCAGTAGCCTACTCCTGGGCCGCCCCCGATACAGTCATGGCCATCGCGGTAGGACTCGGGTACGGCCTGGTCGTAGTCATGGCCTTCGTCCTAAATAGACGGGTTAGACGACTCCGCGATAGCTTTAACAGGTGCACGGAGGCAATGACGAGACAGATCCGTAGACGACCAAACCGGGGCGACAGCGCCATCGAGCGTGGCAATTTGAGTCGGCGTCCCCAGGTCAATGAGTCAGAGTACGAGGACCTCCAAAGTCACCCACTCGAGGCGGTCACCCTTTCTATCACGGAAGGTGAACCAAGGGCCTAAAACACCACTAAGAGTCACCAGCTCAGATCCAACCAACCTACCTCGATACCTAATCAGTCTCCTAGACAATCATGCCTGTCATCCCCATTTATATGCAGGAAATGTCCCTCGTAATTAAAGCCCCACTTGCTACGTCATATATTCGTGTAACCCTCACACTCCCCTTTTAGAACGAGCAAGATGGGAACCCCTCACCATCGAGTGCCTTAACGACGCTCCTACCCGCTGCCAAGGCAGCCACCTTTTTTTTTTGGTTTTTGAAGTTTCCTATTTTGTATCCTAGTCCCCTAAAGTAGAAACTCCTGCTACTCTCTTGGCTTGGAACTTTGAGTCTTCCAGACCAAGAGACCCAGGAGTCAGGCGCACCGGCCCAAACCTTAGAGTTCACGGCCGGAGCTCACTCCCTAAAACCCCTGATCCGGTTAGAACTAGCCTGCAGGGCCAGGACTCGCCTTAGAGAAAACCCGGCCTCGACAAACCAAGCCAGAGGCCCGAGACCCAACCGCTACGAGCCTGCCCCAGTTAGGCGCTTGCGAGCTACTGAGTCACATTGAGACGGGAATGTTGTAACATGTCACCACAAATTGTACACTAACACCCGAACAGGCGAGAAGACCGACTGAGGACAACCCACAGCATATCCGACATGACATGCACCTTGTCGGAAGGTGCATCTCTGCCGTGGGGGGGGTATGTAAGGTTAAACTGAGGACAGGACCAAGCCTGTCCACTCTGTTTACCATTGACCAAATGGAGAGATACAGCTTCAAAGGAGCCATGGGGTCAGCCACAAGCCGCCATCAATCATGAGGATTACCGACGCCAATCGGACCCATAAAAACAGCGGGATACCCATCTGGTGCCCTTTTTCATGTTAACAGAGGAGCTGATACAAATCAGCATTGTCACAATGCATTCCACGGACCAAGGGGTCCACCCGCGGCCCTCTGACGCTCCCTAGCGGACACTGGACGCTACCGCACCCAAGACGAACATTCAAAGGGGACATTACTCAATGATATTAACGTTACGGACCTTACTCGTGTGTTTAATGTCTGTGATGTAAATACACTGTGTGTTTGTACATGTCTTATGATCATTTTGCATCAATCCTGTATGTTTCTTCACAAACTGTCTGTGTAAAGGAGTTTGTCCACAGAGAGGGAAGACATGGACACGCCCCTTCAGAAGTCAATATAAGCACCCGCAAAGCATTGTTCTTTCTCTTGCCTTCTCCTGAAATCACTATCGCAACCTCCCTGGCCATCGGCGTCCCGCGGCACGTGTCTCCTACTACGGTCGCGCCAGCACGCATCGGGCCTTCTACTCCGCCAAACATACTCTCCTCTGGCTCGGGACCTTACGAACCATTTCATCACCAGCCTCTTTCCTTGGCTCTGGACTATACGCGTGCAACCCATTCCGGACTGAGCTGCATACGCGTGGACCAGCAGCTGGACCAACTCGCTGGCTTTGTACCTCCCGCCTGCCCAGACAAAGAAACCACGTGGACTGATCCCCAACCCAAATCCTTTCTCCATCCTCTACGCTCCTTCAAAGTAAGACTGTTCTCTGTTAAATGTATGATTTGAATGATATGTGTACAACTCCTGCTTTTAATGTGACCAGAAATCCCTTTTCGTTATATTTTTACCCTCATTTTTGTAATCAATAAAATACTTTTCTTTAACTCAACCCCTTCAGAGTCGCGTTGTTAGATCTCGGAATATCCCTGGCCGATAAAAGTACTCACTACCTATTAGATTTATAGATTGATATCGAGGCAAAGATTTGGTTGGTGTCTATGTGCAGATTTCTAACTCTGCTGGTGCCCAAAATAAATAACATAGACCTGTTGGTGGAACGGCGAGCTTCCGCTCCGGAGACTAGCCGCTCCACACTACCAAATTCATACTAATAAGTAATTATAATCAGCTAATATAAGTAGTCACCCTACATATATATATATATATATATATATGATTATTATTATTTTTTTATTATATTTATAATAATGATAATAATTATTATTGTTTATTTTTTCTTGCGGCGATCTCCAGGGGTTTATGTTTGTTTGTCTATGTGTTTGTTTGTTCATTATTGAAAAATCATAAATAAATGATTGGGAAAAAAAATAGATCCATGGTCACAGCTCTAATAGATCCATGGTCGCAGCTCTAATGGATCCATGGTCGCAGCTCTAATAGATCCATGGTCGCAGCTCTAAGATCCATGGTCGCAGCTCTAATAGATCCATGGTCGCAGCTCTAATAGATCCATGGTCGCAGCTCTAATAGATCCATGGTCGCAGCTCTAATAGATCCATGGTCACAGCTCTAATAGATCCATGGTCGCAGCTCTAATAGATCCATGGTCGCAGCTCTAATAGATCCATGGTCACAGCTCTAATAGATCCATGGTCACAGCTCTAATAGATCCATGGTCGCAGCTCTAAGATCCATGGTCGCAGCTCTATTGGATCCATGGTCGCAGCTCTAATAGATCCATGGTCGCAGCTCTAAGATCCATGGTCGCAGCTCTAATAGATCCATGGTCGCAGCTCTAATAGATCCATGGTCGCAGCTCTAATAGATCCATGGTCACAGCTCTAATAGATCCATGGTCACAGCTCTAATAGATCCATGGTCGCAGCTCTAATAGATCCATGGTCGCAGCTCTAATAGATCCATGGTCGCAGCTCTAATAGATCCATGGTCGCAGCTCTAATAGATCCATGGTCACAGCTCTAATAGATCCATGGTCGCAGCTCTAATAGATCCATGGTCGCAGCTCTAATAGATCCATGGTCACAGCTCTAATAGATCCATGGTCACAGCTCTAATAGATCCATGGTCACAGCTCTAATAGATCCATGGTCGCAGCTCTAATAGATCCATGGTCGCAGCTCCAATGGATCCATGGTCGCAGCTCTAATAGATCCATGGTCGCAGCTCTAATAGATCCATGGTCGCAGCTCTAATAGATCCATGGTCGCAGCTCTAATAGATCCATGGTCGCAGCTCTAATAGATCCATGGTCGCAGCTCTAATAGATCCATGGTCACAGCTCTAATAGATCCATGGTCGCAGCTCTAATAGATCCATGGTCGCAGCTCTAATAGATCCATGGTCGCAGCTCTAATAGATCCATGGTCGCAGCTCTAATAGATCCATGGTTGCAGCTCTAATAGATCCATGGTCGCAGCTCTAATAGATCCATGGTCGCAGCTCTAATAGATCCATGGTTGCAGCTCTAATAGATCCATGGTCGCAGCTCTAATAGATCCATGGTCGCAGCTCTAATAGATCCATGGTCGCAGCTCCCATGCTTCCTACCGCCCTCTGCTGGGTGAGTGTGGAACTGCCCCCTCAGATATTTCTACCTCTGAAACTGAACTGAGCCCTGTGTAAAAATGTCCTTATTTTAACCTTACAGAACTTTAGAAAACGTGTGTTCGTACCAATAACAAATAAGAAATTCATGTCATAATAAAAACACATGATATGTTGCTTCACATTAATTTTGAGATGAAAGGGTCCATCATGGAAGGGAAACGGTAAACCATAGAGTTGTTCATTATTGAAGGAAATACGTTTTAAATAATTATCCAGACAAGTGACTTATTTCACCGTCACAACTACATAATAAGCCAAAGTCCTCTGCTTCAAGTCTTTTCAAGTCTTTTCAAGGTTAACACACGTGCAACCCTTATCCAAATACACTTTATATATATAGCACGTGTCATAAGCAAAAGAGTTAATGAAGTACAAAACCAAGCAAATAAAAAAATAATACAAGTATAATTGACCGAAAGGATAAGGTCGCGGGTACAAGCCACATGAGTTTCCTCCCATATAGATAGCGTGAGGAGCTCGGAGTAGAGCCGCTGCTTCTCCACGGCAAGAGGAGTCAGTCGAGGTGGGTCGTCTGTTTGGGATGCCACCTGGACGTCTCTGGGGAGGTGTCCAAATCACAACTAGAACCCAGGAAGTGCACTTCACAGCAAGAGGCTTTTGGGTTTGAATCCCAGTCGGAACAGGGCCTTTCTGAGTTGAGTTTGCATGTTCTCCCTGTGTCTGCGTAGGTTTCCTCCGGGTGCTCCAGTTTCCTCTACCATTAAAAAACATGTACAATAGGCAAAATCTTCCAGCTCCGGCCCTGAGCATCAGCTGTGTTCATTTCATTTCATTTAATTCATTAGTTGTGCTAGTGCTATTAGTTGTAGCTTATATTTCAGAGCAAGAAGGTCCTGGGTTCGATTCCACCTCCAGGACTTTCTGTCAGGAGTTTACATGTTCTCCCCGCGTCTGCGTAGGTTTCCTCCGGGTGCTCCAGTTTCCCCTACGAATAAAATCTTGTACAATAGATCTGAATGTAATGAGTGAATGAATGGATGGTGTTTGGTCGGAGGCTTTGATGGACCAGTGTGTTCGGCGTCTCGCTTCCGTCATCACCGTGTGGAGAGAATGGAACAATATCTGAACTCTGAACATTGTAAAGTGCTTTGGGTGATCTTGTTCTGTGAAATGCACTGTATAAATAAACATTACATCACTCATTTAAAAACCTTGACTCACATCCTGACATTGTTCTCAGGTGTTCTGGCGAGACACAGCAGCAGCAGTAGCCCCGCCCCTCTGCTGACCTCTGACCCCCGCAGAGCTCTCATCGATGAGCGTATCAGGATCGGCGCTCGCTTCCTGCCGCCGCTGGCTCCGGTGACGCTGCAGACGCAGATGGTCAGCGAGGACGGAGACCTGTGGACGTCACACGCACACTACACCACGGACGCACACGGCGCCCTCAGCTGTGAGTCACTTCACCGCCAACGGAAACACAAAATATTTACATTCAGAAGTACAATCAAGGAAATACATGAATGTTGTATTTATTAAGTATTTATTATGAAAACTTTTTCCCACAGATGTACTCTGAAAATCAATGTCCTACCGGAGAATCAATCAATTGCTTCCAGTTAAATCTAGTGATCTCACTCTTCTGCTGGGTCTCTCTCTCTGGTCTCTCTCTGGTCTCTCTCTGGTCTCTGGTCTCTGTCTGGTCTCTCTCTGGTCTCTGTCTGGTCTCTCTCTGGTCTCTGTCTGGTCTCTCTCTGGTCTCTCTCTGGTCTCTGTCTGGTCTCTCTCTGGTCTCTCTCTGGTCTCTCTGGTCTCTCTATGGTCTCAGTCTGGTCTCTCTCTGGTCTCTCTCTGGTCTGTCTCTGGTCTGTCTCTGGTCTCTCTCTCTGGTCTCTGTCTGGTCTCTCTCTGGTCTCTCTCTGGTCTCTCTCTGGTCTCTGTCTGGTCTCTCTCTCTGGTCTCTCTCTGGTCTCTCTCTCTGGTCTCTCGCTGGTCTCTGTCTGGTCTCTGTCTGGTCTCTGTCTGGTCTCTCTCTGGCACTCTGGTCTTTACTCTATCTATCCACAGATCCATTTTCTTCCACTTTATCCATATAAAGCAGCAACTGTTCTCACTACAATAAGAGTCAAATATTAAATGGACAAAAGCCAGACTCTTTCAGACTCTGATGCTAAGCAGGCAGGGCCTGATTAGTACTGTGATGGGAGAACTCTGGGAACACCAGGTGCCACAGTGTATATATATTTACAATGTAAAAACAGCATGTAATTTCCCACTTCTACCACTAGATGGCTGTGTGCTCATTCCTGACTATGAGTTTCTACTGTATAAAACGTGCTCTCGAGCACAGGGGAGTGCAATTATTTTCTTTGGGGGCCACATCTTCGGAAGGATTGCCCTATTGTGAAGCACCGAACCCATTTTCATGTTTATTTTTGCTAAAGGCTTCTTCAGTATTTTAATGTGAAACCCACATGAAGATATCCAGAACAGAATAAATGCATTACATGTCATGTAAATATGTGTTACAGTTATAAGCCTTTATTGGATGTTGACTGCTTGTTAATTTAATCAAGAAACAGAGGTTAATGGCTGGAAAGGGTCCGGGGGCTGCAAAGAAATGTGAATTGGGCCGGATATGGCCTTGCCTGGTCTGCTCCAGCAGTAGGATCACATTGGCCTGGATCATTTTGTGTTGTAGACTTAAACAGTAGCGTGTCTAAAGTCACAGTTTAAATCATTGATCAAAAAGCTGTTCTCAGTCGCTCCTCTCTGTGTCAGTGTGCACAGATGCTTCGGTCGGAGGTTCGTTCGTGGGCCTCGAACCCATGGGGCTGTTCTGGTCTCTGCAGCCGGCTCCAGGAGGAAGAGAAGGACTGAGGCAGGTGAAGAACATACTGTTACCAACTGTGAAGTGTGTATGAGGATTATGTGGATCTCCAGGGGAAGACCCAGGACACGTTAGAGGGACTAGTTCTCTCGGCTGGCCTGGGCACAACCCAGGATTCCCCCAGATGAGCAGGAGGAGGTGTGTGGAGAGGGAGATCTGGGCGTCTGTGCTTAGACAGCTGCCCCCACGACCAAATGAAAATGGACAGATGGACACTCCAGATATCTTGAAATGTCATGACGTGTGTGTATTTGTGGACAGGCTGAGGAAGCAGAACATGCAGACCCCGTATGTGTGTGACGTGTCTCTGTTGGAGGGACATGTGTCTCCGGAGCTCAGGGGCCCCGTCCTGGCCTCTGTCAGCACCGAGCGCTGGTACATGGCTCCTGGGGTCACGCGTCACGATGTCCGACAGAATGGACTCGTCGGGACCTTATTCCTTCCTCCAGGTGAAGACAAGTTAATCATACAGACTGCAAGACAAATGTTTTTAAATGTACACAAGTTAGAAGAGGCCATGGAGCTCGACCGGGGCGATGGAAGACCCTGGACCCAGATGAGCTGGAGGACGTGTGTGTGAAGAGGCAGTGCTGCTTAGACTACAGAGAGGGAAGTTAAGACAGAGATTATGAGATGAAATTTCCCCGGGGCCTAGACCTTGGTCCGTAACGAGCCGGAGATGGGGAGGAGGAGGGTTGCTGCTTGAATGAAGCTTCCTCCTAATATGAAGCTTGATGCAGGGCAGTGCTTGATCGTTTGACTTATGGCTGTTGCCGTGAAATAACAGCGGGAGGACTTGGAGCAAAGTGAGCCATGTTCCTCCAGTCTGAATTTGAGCTTTTGCTTACCATATTTTTTGGATTATAAATCGCAATTTTTGTCTTAATTTGGCCGGGGGAGATTTATACTCTGGAGCGATTTATGTGTGAAATTATTTCAATATACATTTTATATTTTATCTACCATAAAATATCCAATGAATGCTAAAGTTATTTGAATGACTCTTACTGTAATATTTTACGTTAATAGTAGTAAGTAGTAGTAATCTTTATTTATATACCGCCTTTTCACTGCACATGGGAGTCTCAAAGCGGTTTACAATTGTTATTTTTGGGAGTGGGGGTGCCAGTACAGGGGGCACATGCCAGACCTATTGCACATATTTTTAGTGGTAGGGGAAACCGGAGCACCCGGAGGAAACCTACGCAGACACGGGGAGAACATGCAAACTCCACTCAGAAAGGCCCTGGTAAATGTCTATTCTTGGTGTTGAATTTAATGCAACAAAATTCCCCCAAAAATGCGAATCATACTCTAGTGCTTATTTTTTATGTTTTATTCCCTTTATTACTACGCATTTTTGGCTGGTGCGACTTATAATCCGAAAATTACGGTAATATGTACACTTAAAAACCCACGGACACACCATAGTCTTTACATGAGTCTATACCAACTTCTGCTTTCTCCAAAATCAGCAACTGCAGAAGTCACTTTGACAGTTTTTCATCTTTGTCCAAGACGAGTTCTGATCTTTCTGCAGGGCCGGGTCCATTCCCCGCCATGTTGGACCTGTGGGGGATGGGCGGCGGCTTGGTGGAGTACCGCTCGGCTCTGCTGGCGTCCAGAGGATACGCCAGCTTCGCTCTGGCGTATTTCAGACACAAAGACCTGCCCGGGCCTCTGACCACCATCAATGTGGGGAACGCATACTTTAAGGTGCGATTAAAATCCTGCAAATACTTCATATAAAAGCCACAGATTTACCCTCGCTTTTGCCAGAATAACTAAAGAGTGTAGTAGAATTATGTATTTTTGCAGCTGGAGACTTGAATTTGGGGATTCATAAAGTATATATCTACTGTATCCATCTATCTATCTACTTATCTATTGTGTATGTATTCACTGTTTCTATCTATCTATCTATCTATTTATCTATCTATCTATATCTATTTACTGTCTCTATCATTTATCTTTTTGTATCATAGTAGTGACTGATGTTACAGGGGGCGTTCCAGTTCCTTCAGGACCATGAGAAGGTCTGTGGAGACAGAGTTGGGATCTTGGGTCTCTCGTATGGAGTTTATCTGGCTCTGAGGATCTCCACTCTTCCTGGAGTTAAGGTAAATTAAAATTAAGATTAAGAAGAGATCCAATATTTGTCATATTCTTTCTGGTCTCTTTCCCTGGCCTCTTCCTCCAGTCTTTCTCTCTGGTCTCTCTTGCTCACTACTCTCTCTATCTCTAGTCTTTCTCTCTGGTCTCTCTTGCTCACTACTCTCTCTATCTCTAGTCTGTCTCTCTGGTCTCCCTCTGGTCTCTCTTGCTCTCTGGTCTCTCCCGCTCTGATCTCTCTTGCTCTCTGGTCTCTCCCGCTCTGATCTCTCTTGCTCTCTGGTCTCTCTCTCTAGCCTCTCCCTCTGTATCTCTCTCTCTCTGGTCTCTCTCTTCCTCTTGTCTCTCTCCCTGGCTCTGGTCTCTCTCTGGTCTCTCTCTGGTGAACACACACACACACTTTTTTATAATACATATACACACAACACCTTCTTTATCTCTCTGCAGCCGTCTTGTTTGATTTGCATAAACGGACCGATCGGCAGCACCACCGCACTCATCGATGACGGAGGGAAACCCGAGCCTTTCGAGATGTAAGAATCAAGTCTTTTTGTTGCCTTGGTAACAGTAACAGGACGTCACAAACCAGGAATTTGCTTTGGTATACGGTGCAGACAAGTTTAATGGTCTAGCACAGTTCATACTCAAGACAAGACAACAAAACAGGGCTTTCAAATCATAAATAATCACAGTAAAGAGTGAAGATCGAATCCCTCAGTGGTCGCACAGCTAAACAGAACTGCCAGCTCATTGACTGCTGCTGTTTTTGATGATTTCACTGATTGTCAAGGCCCACAGAATATTATGTGCTGAGACTATGTGAAAGTTTGAAACCATGATTGTCTTCTTTCATCAGCAAAACATTTTCTAGCTATTTTTGTTCTCCTCTAAACCCCAGTTACCACCAGTCTCAGACAAATACGTCAATGGCAGTCAATGAGTTTGAGGTTATTCCAAAAGAGGCTCACTTGTCTAGAAATAAGACCACACACTGAAAAAAGTGGTGAAAAATAAGTTTAACATGGCTCAAATTTGGATGCATTTATCTTATTTGAGCACATTTTCACTTCTCTAAAACAAGAGTTGCCAGTGGGACAGTGAGCAAAATGATTATAATATTTTTTTTTGACTAGATACAATAAATGTCTACGTTGGAATGAGAAAATAAAGCAGCAGTTCTGGAAAAAAAGACTAGATGACTTTGTGCCATTGGATAATCTTGTTTTTAAGTCAGAATGTGCTCAAATTGACATAAAAAACACTTAATTCCAGCCATTATCACCTCATGTATAATCATTTTTTGCAGTGTAAAATGTATTCAAATGACATGGACAGTGGTATTTTGGTGAGCTCATCATTCCCACATGTTTAAACCAAAACCGTTCTCTGTATAAGAAACCGGACTCACTGGAAAGTCAATGCTGAAGGTCACTACATGTTCAAAGAGGTCTCGCACCCGGACAATGTTCTCCAGTCCAGCAAAGTCAAAGTAAGTGTTTTGTCTATTTCCTATTTTTTTGTTGGGTTTTTTAATGTTTTGAATTCTCTTTTCACTAATCCCTGGTTTAGATTGAGGAGATCCCGTGTCCCGTCATGTACATCGAGGGGAAAGACGACACAAACTCCAACAGTGCAGCCAACGCAGACACGGTGAGGCATGGATCATGAAGTCCCAGATCACTACAGACAGATACTTTAGTGATCCCTGCAGGAGAAATGCAGGTGTCTAGTAGCAGCAAAAACACATACATCCATAAAACAGAAACAAATGAATTGATAATTCTAAAAAGCAACAATAGTAATAATAATAAACAGTCCTTCAGGTCACAGGTCTTGGTTTGGTCTTGGTAAAATGCTAAATGCTTCATTAGCATTTTTCAAAAAGTTAGCATTCCTCCACTGGATATTCACCTGATCCATTTGGTTCGGACCATGAATCCTCTCTGCTCTGGTCTGGACCAGTGTAAAACCATGAATCCTCTCTGCTCTGGTCTGGTCTGGACCAGTGTAAAACCATGAATCCTCTCTGCTCTGGTCTGGACCAGTGTAAAACCATGAATCCTCTCTGTGTCACAATTGATGAAAGGACTCAAAATGCAGACAATTGGATTTTCAAAAAATTTATTCAAAAAAACAAGACAGGAATAATGCAGACAGGCTGACGTGGCAGCAACGGGCAAGACTGTAATCACAAAAAATATCTTGAGCACAAAATGTGGCGTGAATAAGGTAGCCAAAAAGCACTACTGACAAGATGTAGTAGAACAAACAAACTGGCGAGGAGGGTCTGCAGAGCTGCTCCTCTTGTACTGTAGTTGATGGGCTGATGAGATCCAGGTGAGTAGTGGCAGAGGCAGGAGGACCGGGAAAAGGTGGAGCGCACTCTACTGGATCGTGACACTCTGCTCTGGTCTGGACCAGTGTAAAACCATGAATCCTCTCTGCTCTGGTCTGGACCAGTGTAAAACCATGAATCCTCTCTGCTCTGGTCTGGACCAGTGTAAAACCATGAATCCTCTCTGCTCTGGTCTGGACCAGTGTAAAACCATGAATCCTCAATGCTCCTGGTCTGGACCAGTGTAAAACGAGGGTTACGTATGTAACCACACTTCTATGAATCCCGGATGACAGCCAGAGGGCGGTGCATAGCACTGAATGTTCCCTGCGCATGCACGAAGGGAACATTCGCGATTGCACCGCCCTCTGGCGGTCAGGAGGGATGAAATAGAACCATGAACACTGTACTGCAGCAACATCTCAGGCAGAAAAAGTTAGAAAAATAAAACTTGTAAAACACAAAACATCAGCTGTTTTAGAGACACTTAGGACTCGCTGCTGTTTCCAGTGCATTCAATGGTAAAAAGTAGGACTATACAAAAATAAATTGAGTTGAAGAACAATACAACATGAAACCCTGTGGCTTGTATTCGGACAAAATGTACTTTCTTTTAACATTTTGCTGGTGCGGTTTATACAGTTAATAAGTGGTGGGCAAACTAAACCGAGGCTCCGGAGCTTGTGTCGCTCTTCCTGAAGCAAACTGCTCTGAAACACTGTGTTGGAGCGTGTATGAAAACAGCTGTGTCAGTGTCTCGGACTCTGTGTCGATGTGTCGAAGCGTTTCATTGGCTCAATGAGTTCCCCAGGTTTTCATTGGGTCAGAGCGTTACAGTCTATGGCAGAGGTGTCTAAACCGGTCCAGAAAGGGCCACTGAGACTGCAGGTCCTCTGGTCTATGGTTTGGTTTGACAGTGGATAGCATGCACGTACACGAACAGTAGGAATGAGTAGCAAACAGCACAAAACGAAGACAAACAAAAAATAGGTTCCCCAGCTTTAGCTCTTGTGTGTCTGGTGTCAGTGATAGTTGGTGTAATTCTTTGTTCCTCAGTTGGAGAGGAGCCTCAAAGCCTGCGGTAAAGGCCACCTCCTCACGCGGCTGTCGTACCCCGGCGCCGGACACCTCATCGAACCTCCATTTTCTCCCAACGCCAGAATCTCCCTGTGGAGCGTCAAGCCTGAGAAACGTGAGTCTGTCTTTATACTGGGCTCGAAAAGTAAAAGAACAAAATTATTGTTGTGGACTAAGCTTATGTGGACTTCGCTTAGCCCTTTCCTTCTTTGATTTTAATTTACACTTTTTGAACACTCAGAACTAGAGTTTCGCTTTTCAGCCCGAGCCCGAGCAGGCCCGAGGCCCGACCTGAGTTCGGGCCAGGCTCGGGCCTCATTTGGCGCTCAGCTGTCGGGTTCGTGCCGGACTCGGGCTTCTTTTTTAAAATATATGTTTCTTTTTTATTATTATTATAATTATTTTTAAATGATTTTTATACATAATGATATGCATATATATATATATATATATATATATATATTAATAACAATGTCCGTTGATTGACAACAAGGTATTAAAAAAGTTAATATATTGATGACACCGTAACCAGCGTGTCCTACAGCAGCAGCGAGCCGTGAACGAATCATCCCCGTGTCTCCTGCTGCTGTGGTCAACAGCGAACAGGAACAATAGTAGAAATGGATCAAGTGGAGACAAAACAAATTCAAAAGTGGAGACTAAACTTGCAATTGGAAGGTGAGTGCGTACAACGGGAAATCAGATGTGTCGGGTTCTGTCGGGCTCGGGCCTGTTATACAGCGTTCATTGGTCGGGCTTATACGGGCTCGGGCTTAACATTAGCGGGCTCGGGCCGGGTCGGGCTTCATTTTTCAGGCCCGAACGAAACTCTACTCAGAACTAGGTGGTGAACAACTACTACTATAGCCACAGCTGCCCTGGGGCACACTGACAGACGCGAGGCAACCAGTCTGTGCCATCAGCCCCTCCGATCACCACCAACCATTCACACACACACCAGACTCATTCTAGGCCACGTGGGTGAAGTGTCTTGCTGCAGCTTCTCCGCAGTGGCACCTGGTGTTCCCCGAGGTCTCCCATCCCAGTGCTAACCAGGGGCTGCCCTGCTTAGCTTCAGAGTCTGACAGGATTGGGCTTTTGTCAATTGCTTTATTGTAGTCGATAACTGTTGCTGCTGCTCCTGCAATCCAGGAACGGATAAAGTGGAAGAAAATGGATGGATGTAGAAATACCAGAGAGACCAGAGAGGGAGAGACCAGAGAGGGAGAGACCAGAGAGGGAGAGACCAGAGAGGGAGAGACCAGAGAGGGAGAGACCAGAGAGGGAGAGACCAGAGAGGGAGAGACCAGAGAGAGAGAGACCAGAGAGAGAGAGACCAGAGAGAGAGAGACCAGAGAGAGAGAGACCAGAGAGAGAGAGGCCAGAGAGAGGGAGGCCAGAGAGAGGGAGGCCAGAGAGAGAGACCAGAGAGAGAGAGACCAGAGGGAGAGACCAGAGAGAGAGAGGCCAGAGAGAGGGAGGCCAGAGAGAGGGAGAGACCAGAGGGAGAGACCAGAGAGAGAGACCAGAGAGAGAGACCAGAGAGAGACCAGAGAAAGAGACCAGAGAGAGAGATCAGAGGGAGAGAGACTAGAGAGAGAGACCAGAAAGAGACCAGAGAGGGAGAGACCAGAGAGAGAGAGACCAGAGAGGACCAGAGAGAGACCAGAAGATAATTTTGTCCCATCGGCAAATCTTGTTTTAATGCAGTCAAAATGTGCTCAAATTAAGATACGTTTTTTTACCATCTCTTTTTCCCTGATCCTTCTTCTTCTTCTGTAAATGTGTGTGTTCCAGTGTTCACGGTGTGGGGCGGCCATCTTGCTCCTCACGCCGCAGCTCAAGAAGACTCCTGGAGGAAGATGCACCAGTTCATGGAGAGGCACCTCAGAGGAGAGAGAGCGTGAGCCTCAGACTTATACAACTGTAGATTCAGACTGAGTGGACTGGAAGGATTCCTCTGCATTATCTGGTTCTGGTTCTGGATCGGTATTTGCTTTTCTGAACTTACCAATGTCGGGAGAGTCGGTGACGGGAGGTTACAGAGTTTTCACTTTTAACACCAAAGAAAACAGAATTGGGAATCACTGTGTGTTGCTTATTTACTTTTTATATTCACGTAAAGCAAATGTGGTACTTTTGTTTTTGTCCAACACAAACTTGTTTTTATAAATGTGCTCTATAGATAACAGCGGCAATAACACACACTCCTGCACACACACATAGACACACACACACACAGACAGAAACACCTGAACACACACATAGACACACACACACACAGACAGAAACACCTGAACACACACACACAGACAGAAACACCTGAACACACACATAGACACACACACACACAGACAGAAACACCTGAACACACACAGACACACACACACACACACACAGACAGAAACACCTGAACACACACATAGACACACACACACAGACAGAAACACTCCTGCACACACACACATAGACACACACACACAGACAGAAACACTCCTGCACACACACATAGACACACACACACAGACAGAAACTCCTGAACACACACACACAGACAGAAACACCTGAACACACACAGACACACACACACACAGACAGAAACACCTGAACACACACATAGACACACACACACACACACACACACACACCTGAACACACACATACACGTTTTTGTTACCTGGTGGGTCCCTTTGACAGGGTCGTTCAGAATGGGACCCATAGACATAATCTTTTTTTACTGGGACTACTTTAAGTAATACAAAACAGTCAATAGAAACCAAACAACTATTTTAACCTCTTAACACCTGCCTCATTTTGGCTTGTGCACAAAAGTTTGGCATACCCAAATGTCTTTGCTTATTTAAAAACACATCTTACATCTCACATGCTTGTGTGATGCATCATTTTAAAGCTAGAGCCTTCTCGTTTATGTAAAAAAACACTAAAATAATGTTTGTCATTCCTATTTTCCTCTGCATCCTTTGAAGTTTGGGAAAAAAACCCAATTTTTTTAGCCTCGCCTAACATTTTCAATTTCTAAAGGCCCTAAAAAAGGCATACTTCATTGTAAGTTCACAATATTCAAACCCTGTGGTCATTGTGTTGTTGACAACAACTGTCTAAAGTTTCAGACTTCTAAGTTTTATAGTTTTTATGCAGTTTCTCCTTTTCATCAAGTAGTGCACATTTGGCACAAGTGTGCCAAATTGTGCCAAATATCTTTACTTACATTTAATCATCATAAAAACAATATTTTTTATTATTGGTACTTATAAGTTACTAATCTATGTGTGTTTTTTTTTTTAAATGTCAAAGTTATTTTTTTATGAGTGTAAATTCATTGCAGCTTTGAGAGCGTCTTTTAGCTGCCATTACGCACAATTCTACAGGCACAACATAAGACAGGACACCATTGTCCCACCCCTTGTTTGAAAGCTTTCCTCATTGGCTACACGGCCATGTCATTCACTCGGCTCTACCACGTCCCCCTCCCTGCCCTGCTAACAACAAACAGAAAGTGGCCGTGCGTAAAAGGGATTCGCTTGTTTTATTCACAGAGACGTAGCGAACGAAATCAAGCACCTTTCTCTTCGGAGATAGTCTCATTGTGTAGCTAACAAGGTGAGGAACACAAGCCTACCCTCTTTGTGGGGGAAAGGCAAAGCTGCATTTCCGCAAACAGTAAAAAGCAGCGTCCGTGCTGTTTCAATTTTTTTTTCTCGCTAAAAATAAATGCTCTTTTTTGGATGATTTCTGCACAATGGATTATACTTTGGGAAACACAAGTGGATTTCCGTTTTCCATGGACAGTTGTGGAGAGAATAAGCCATAGCAAGCTGGGAGGAGAGCTGATTTATTCGGAAAATGGTAAGAAACTTTTTCGGAGCTGATTCATTTTGTTCCCATATTATGTGTTATATCTTTTGAATGCAATGTCTGATATTGCTGACACTTGTACACTATATAATTGTAAATACGAAAATAAGCTTTAAAATGACATACAGCTTTTGGGGTTTGGTGTTCAAAATGCATCTGTTATTGCTGGTTGAACATTTTAAAAACAAAAACGGCACGCCGGCGCGCCGGCAAGGAATTTTATTTTTGATTTTTTTTTTGAACTGCAGTGATTATATTTTTGACATAGAATTTAATGCCGGGGCGACAGTAGCTCAGTTGGTAGAGCATTGGCCTTTGAGCCTGAAGGTCGTGGGTTCGAGCCCACCTCAAGACCTACTTCACGACTCCCACTGATGACTGCTGTCGTTGTGTCCTTGGGCAAGACACTTAACCCCACTTTGCCTGAAGCCCCCACTGAAAGATCTCAGCTCCTGTGGACTCACCACCTGCAGGAGGATCAGTGAGGGGCTGGTGCTATGTGTACTGGGTGCAGCTCTGACTGCCACCCCCCCGACCCAGAAATGGATTAAGGGGAAGAAAATGGATGGATGGATGGATTTAATGCCACTCCATGTCCGATGTCTAAGGTCATCTGGTGAGGCATTAATGCAGGCCAGGCAGTGAGACTTCCCAGGGACCTTTCCAGTCTGTATGAAAGGCGTCTCCACAGCCTTCACCTCAGATGCAGACCATGGCTTTCTTACACGTTCTAGGGAGAGAAATAAAAATATATTAGCAATATACACTCCCAGGGTGAGGACCAAGCAGCCTGGCTGTAATCCCCCACCTGGTACACTTACCAGAAGGGGCACTGCCACTACCATGGGGTGCATCTGGATGAATGGTTGAAGGTTCTCCGCTTGAAGTTTCTTTTAGCCCGTCCGTTTGTGAGAGGATCTCTACTGCTCTCCCTGTCGCACAGAAAATAAAAATACAAGTGGCCTTTAGGGGAAAAAAATCATACATATTTAAATAATATCAAGAATTACCTTCAGGCTCAATTTGTATCTGGTCGAGGCTCTTTCCTTCGAATTCCGTCACTCTTCCCTGCTCCATGGCCATCAACACTTTGCTAATTTTGGCCAGCTCCAGTGTCCCCTCTGGTAGTCTGTAATATTGCCTGTGGATGCGAATGTCATGGCCGAGGAAGTTGGCTAGTATGTCCATTTCATTCTCTTTCATATTGAGAACTGTAGACATAGTAGCTATGTGCTTTCTAAGTTTGGTTGAGGATAGCATCTCTGGATGCACCGCACCACATTCTTTGGCTACCTGGCGTAGGGAGTCTGATCCCCTGATGTGGGTGTCTGCGCCCGGGCGGGAAAAGAAGTATGGGTTATGGTCAGAGATGGAACAGGCCCTTCTGTTCTCCACCAGCACCTCCATCGAAGCAATCATTTCAGGAGTCAAAAGAACCGGCACGCTCCGACTTCTTTTCCCTTTAATTTCAATGCGTTGAAAATGCTGACACAGCTTTTTCTCAAGTTCGGACAGTCCCAGAGCAATGTCAGAATGGATCCCAGTCTTACTTCTTAAGGTAAACGCTGTCAGTGGCATCTTTGAAACCTCACCTTCCCTTCTTCGATTGAAAATAATGACCTCACAAAGAGTCAAAACTGCCAGTTTAGACCAATGCTTAGACGTTGGCTCACTTATTAGGGTTTGCACATATTCAGGTCGACATACCTCAATATGTGCATGCATGGCTCTAACGTCCTCAGTCAGAGGGAGCAGGTCCGGAGTGTTCCACTTGGCTTGCCGGAGGGTCTGTAGGGCAGCAGAAGAAAAACAGACGTCCCACCTCTTCTCAAAAAGCAGCCGGCTTCGTTGGAGGTTTTTAATAAATAGTTCATCAACACAATGCTCCATTTTTGAGTCACATTCAAGAATATCTGCTAGCTTTCTGAGGCTATGGCCGAGTTTGAGGGCCAAGGATGGAGTCTTGTATTGATTTGTTTCCTCATCATATCCAGCCACAGACCTGACTGCATCAATCACATGGTTAAAGTTGGAAGGAATAAAGAAATCCTTCATAGTTTTCAGTTTCCCTGTGGTTTTTGCTTCGTTAATTAACCTACCGACATCTCTCATTTTCTGCCTAATGTAATCATGCTTAGTCTTATCATGCCCGTGTTTTAAGTACAGGTGCTCTCCGAGTCTCAGAATCCCCTTTTCTGCTTTGACAACACCCGTGACCTCATCCTGATGCATTGCCCAAATTAAAGACCACAGCTTTTTGCTGATGCCCTCCGGTACAGGCTGGGCTAGGGAGCAGAGGGACTGGACCCTACTTCTACCTGGTTTAGCCTGGGCATCTTTCTGTGAAAGCCGGCATCTGGCCACATGCCTCCACAGCGACTTTCGCTTAAGCAATCCCCACAGTCTATACAGTGCAAAAACTCACTGGATTTAACTGGGGAATTTGGCTGTTTAGCTGGGACTAAAGTTCCAATGCCGGCCTTTAAAACCTCAACATTGTGCTCACGGTTTCCACTATTCCTGATCAAATCAAACTGAAGTTTACGTGCTTTAGATTTCACAGGTAGAGCCAATGCTCTGGCTACGTCACTTTCATTTCCATGTTTTCTAGTCAAATGACGGGACATTTTGTGGCAGGACATTGAACAGTAGAGGCAGAAGTGTCTCTTGCTGTAAACTCTCCCCCCATTTTTCTTCTTTTGCAGCTGCATGATAACAATCTTATTTGCCTTTGGTTCGTCACTTTCCGAGTCTTGAAGAAAAGTGTTTTTGATTTTTCTTTTTCCATACTTTTTTACAGGTTTCTTCTTGACAGTTAAATCGTCAGAATCTGAGTCGACTTCATCAATTAGGGACTCTTGACTAAGCTGCACAAACAACAAATAATTTGTAATCATTCTATATAACAATTTGAAGTCATGACTTGTAGTCAGCACTTACCAGTGGTTTGTAAGCGTGCGCTTCAGTGTGCTCCTCCATGATTTCTTGCAGCCTAATGAACCACACACTTGCACCTTTTTCTAGCCTGACACCTGATTTCCTCTGTTGTGCTGCTCCATGATTGGCTCCAGCCTGCTGGACTGAAATTGCCCCAGTGTGCCCCTCCTTGATATCCCGCAACCCACCACCAGGGTTCCGACACATAACACACTTTTTTCAGGAAAGTAAACCCTCCAGGGGTCCTTTCCATATTTTTACAGAGACTGCATAAGGACCGTTAGAAAAGCATTACCCATTGATTATTAAGCTTGGACCAGTGGGGTCCGGTGTTCGGGCCCCACCACGTAAAACCAGTCCCCATGACGTGAGTGGAATCTCAGGTTATGGAACCCACCAGGAGTTGAAAACAAGTGCACACACACACAGACAGAAACACCTGAACACACACCCACCTGAACACACACAAACACCTGACCACACACACCTGAACACACACACAGACAGAAACACCTGAACACACACACACCTTAACACACACAGAAACACCTGACCACACACACACCTGAACACACACAGACAGACAGAAACACCTGAACACACACACACACAGACAGACAGAAACACCTGAACACACACACAGAAACTCTTGCACACACACACCTGAACATACATGCACACTTGATAATACGCATAATCTCTCTCTCTCTCTCTCTCTCTCTCTCTCTCTCTCTCTCTCTCTCTCTCTCTCTCTCTCTCTCTCTCTCTCTCTCTCTCTCTCTCTCTCTCTCTCTCTCTCTCTCTCTCTCTCTCTCTCTCTCTCTCTCTCTCTCTCTCTCTCTCTCTCTCTCTCTCTCTCTCTCTCTCTCTCTCTCTCTCTCTCTCTCTCTCTCTCAAATAGATGTATCCAGGTGTTAGAATGGCCAAGTCAAAGTCCAGACCTGAATCCAATCGAGAATCTGTGGAAAGAGCTGAAGACTGCTGTTCACAAACGCTCTCCATCCAACCTCACTGAGCTCGAGCTGTTTTGCAAGGAAGAATGGGCAAGAATTCCAGTCTCTCAATGTGCAAAACTGATAGAGACATACCCCAAGCGACTTGCAGCTGTAATTGCAGCAAAAGGTGGCGCTACAAAGTATTAGCGCAAGGGGGCCGAATAATATTGCACGCCCCACTTTTCAGTTTTTTATTTGTAAAAATAGTTTAAATTATCCGATAAATTTTGTTCCACTTCACGATTGTGTCCCACTTGTTGTTGATTCTTGACATGAAATTATTTTATATCTTTATGTTTGAAGCCTGAAATGTGGTGAAATGTTGAAAGGTTCAAGGGGGCCGAATACTTTCGCAAATGGCACTGTAAGTTTCGTTTCTGTATAAGCTGAGATTCCCTTCTCAGAAAACAAAAGTGAAATTGACTGATTATAGGGAGGAGAGCCTCGCCCCTCTTTCATAACCTGCCTGTCTGCTCTGACCCAGTGCAGCTCAGAGGCCGAGATGATTCACCAGAGAGAGGTCAGTGACACGTTTATCATATGTTAAAGTGAGATTTACAGTCGACTGCTTCACTACAGCAGAAAATATGTATAAGAACAAGAGGAATTCACAAACATTTAACTCTATATTTCTGATTAGCTCTAACTTCAAATCAAACTGAACTGCAGAAAAGGCAGAGGCTGAAGCGTGAAACATGGAGTTACCTAAATTCTTTCATAAATACACATTTGAAGTAACATTTTGTCGACAAATCAGAGCATGATGACTTTACTGGAAAACATTTGATATTTTTCATACATTTACAAGAGCTGATTGGCTGAAAACAAGCTGGAACTCTCTTTCACTGAACAGACAGAGGCCAAAACTCATGCAATATCTGGTGAAGCGAACTGTTTTTGCTGGAACTAGTTAGGCCGGAAAGTCAGGCACCACAGCTTTCAATAGTCCTGTCATAGAAACATTATAGTAAAGATTGAATTAACATAAAATAGTTATAAGAGTAAGTTATTAACTAATCCTCAACTGTGTAGTCAAATACAGCACATATAATCTGTCGGCAGCAGGTCAGCTGAGAGATGGGAAATATGTTTCAACAGGTTTTCGGCAATATCTGTGTCTAAGAACAATGTGTCAGAGATGTATCACCGTAAAGAAGGTTAAAGAGAAGCCTTGAGTCAGACATAACAATACTAACTTCATCTGTTTAATGTCTGTTTACTCTGCTCTGTTTAATGTCCAGTCATTTCCTCATCCAGGGCAGACGGTTCAGAGCTGCAGGTGGTGTCTGGGTTGTGTTTCTGTCGCACAATACAATCCACCACTGGCATCGAACCGTTTCTAAACATTCATGCGGTGGGTCAAAGAAACCGGAATTACATTTTTAATGAGTCTATCGTCTCTTCTTGTTCTCGGTCTAGTTTTCTTTGACTGGTTTGAAAGCAGAACAAGTCCAGGGATGGAATCTTGAATTAGTGCGACAGAATCTCACCCTGCTGCTCCGTGTTTTAATCTAAACTAAATTTAAAATGGCCGTTGTAGTTTCAGTTGATGAGTCTCTGGGGGCGGGACGAGGTTTGTAAAAATAATTAAAATATTATTAGACTTTTAAGTAATATGAAGTGTTTTCTGGAGCCGCAGGCATCGAACCATTTCTAAACATTCATGCCGTGGGTCAAAGAAACCGGAATTTCAAGTTTTAATGATTCGGAAAATCTTTTGTTACAGCGAAGACATTAAACCAACGTCATCATCGTCGTTATGGCTACGAGAGACGCCCTAAAGACAAAGGACGAAGAGGAGGAGGAGGTTTGTGTGTTCAGCTGCAGTAATGATTGTGTAGGTGCAGTATTGTGTGTATCTATGATTGTGCAGCTGCAGTATTGTGTGTATCTATGATTGAGCAGCTGCAGTATTGTGTGTTGCTATGATTGTGCAGCTGCAGTGTTGTGTTTTTGTGTGTCAGTCCCAGACCCTGGTCAACAATCACTCTTTTAAAGTAATGTCCAGATGAAAAGTAGATTCTACGTGTTCAGACTCCTTTTAGTTTGAGACGACCTTTGGCTTTAAACATTTTTTTTTTTTTTGCTTTAATTACTACAACCGTATACTACACAAAAAGAAAAGACTGAGACTGTCATTCCTTTTTAGGCCTTTTCCTTAAAAAAATTGAAACCTTGAAATAAAAAAAAACTACAAAAGATAATCAGTGTCTGAACTTCACAGACAATAATATTCTAGATGTTTTTTCATGGTTAGAAATTCAAAAACTGATGAAAAAAATGATCTGTCTTTTTTTGTATCAAATTTTACACCATGGACTTTGAGGCTTGATAATAAACGTATTGTATATTTTAAAGGTGAATATATCATTTTGAAATTTTAATCACATTGAAATTTGTAAACTAAACTTTCAGTGACAGAAATTCAAAGACAAAAATATAACTTTTTCAGGGTTAAAAAACTCAAATGGACAAATTCAAGCTCATTAAAAATCTGACACTAAACATTTCCGTATGTTTCCAAATAAAAAAAAAATTGTGGGTTTGCAGGAGTTTCATGAAGCTGCAGAGACACTTCTACAGCACGACTGTACGGACACTAACTATGGTACGGTATAAATGTTTTTGTTAAAACTGAATGATTCTGTTGTTTTACAAATAAAATACATAACAAGTATTCATAACGCCGGAGTTAGTACTTTGTGGAACCTCTTTTGTTAATAACAGCAGCAAGTCTTTATGGGCACGACTCTACAGTATTTGCACATCTAAAGACATCAAACAGGATTTCTTATTGGCTCATTTCAATAATGGCTTCTTTCTGCCACTTGTAAATCAAGGCCAGATTTGAGATCCTTACCCTCCATGATGCTGTTTAGTGACCAATACAATCTCACAGAACATCTGTATTTATAATGAGAGCAGATGAAACACAGGAGGCCTCTGTTTAATCATTAGGGCAAGAGTCATTATGACTGTTTTAAAGGTGTGACACTTCAGCAGTCATTATGACTGTTTTAAAGGTGTGACACTTCAGCAGTCATTATGTAAGGGATAACGTGTATGACGCAGGTCATTATCGGAAAATAAGTACCGCTTTGCTATTGAGAAGGTTATACAAATATGTCCAAAGCACAACAGAACATCTCTCTTCAATCCATCTGGGAATTTTTCATCCCCTTTATCAGTCCATATCTGTCAGAGAGCTGCCACCCAATGCTCATAACACCAGTTGCCCAAGAACGATTGCAAACTTTAATGGGAGCAGATGACATGAGTTGTGGGGGGATCGAACCAACAACCATTAGGTTCCAAGACCAATGCTCCACCAACTCACAGCTCGAACAAGCACAACACTAATCACAGATACAGACACGAAGCCAAGGGCTACTCTGGAGGAGCTGCAGACATCCACAGCTCGGGGCAAACAGACAACGGTACATAGATCTGGCCTTTATTTACGAGTGGTAAATAGAAAGAACCCAGAGCCCTGAGGACACAGAGCCAGAGCTGGTGAGAGTTGGGTCGTGTGTTTTCTCTGTGCTGTGCTTCTACCTCTGTATGAAGTGTAGCTCTACATAAACGGATGTCTTGTAATTTTCAGAAATCCCTAAACCAAAGGTAGCAGTGCTCTGTGTTGGTCCTGATGTGGTTTCCTTTGCTGTGGAACCACATCCGTCTCCTCAAACATTCGACCTGGTGATCGAGTACAGTGCTGCAGAACAGAGGGGCACAGTGGTCCACAGAGACTCCCCCTCTGTGGACATCACAGGGCTGTGTCCTGGGACAGACTACACCTTCACCATCACACGGAGGACACAGAGCTCACAGACCTGTGTTCGTGTCGTCACAGGTCAGTATGACAAGATCCACACTTACTTTATCATTAGAAGTATTCGCATTAACTTGCTTTAAAAACCTCTGCAGCACCAATACCTCCTCCGCTGTTATCAATAAGTGACATCAGAGCTGACAGTGTGACTCTGTCCTGGGAGCCCCCTGCTGGTAAAGTGCAGAACTACTCAGTGACCTGTTCCAGTGGAGAAGATGTGATCCAAGAATTCCAAACTGAGGAAACCAGTGTGACCATCAGAGACCTGAGGCCGGGACAGCAGTACCTGTTCTCTGTGTGTGCGCAGCTCCAGAACAGGCTCCAGAGTGAGGCTGCAGAGACCTCCACTCACACAAGTAAGTCTCCATCTTTAAATTCGGACAACTGCAGTGGAATTAGATTTCAACATAGTCCTTAAACTTGTTTCCACAGAAACATATGTGGAGTCTGTACTTAAGGATTTGGATCTGGAAATCTATTACAAAAAGAAGCTTTGCCTAAATAAGGTTCTGCAAATCGATGAGAAGACGATGACTGAAAACAATGTGATGTCAAACAAAGACGTTGCTTGGTATTTTCTTAAAGAGCTGATGATGGTAAATGTCAAAGCGAGAAATGTAAAATGTACTTTAAGTGATACAAACTTAGGTGAAAGTTTTGACATCTCAATCTTAGAATTTCAAAATGTCTTGATGAGTTCAACCTCTGCTTGCACCGTTAATCCTCTTGACATAATAACAGCTCTGTTTCTGTGCTCTGATAGCTTTGTGCAGCAGGAACTGTCACTTAAAATGTCCATGTGTCAGTTTGCTGTTCCTCTGCTGCTTCCAAACTGTGACACAAACCAGTGCACACTGATGCTGTGGGCTTTGAGAGACATTGTCAAAAAGTACAGACCTAAATCTCTCTCTGAAACAAAGGGCTTCAAAGAAGAACGTGTCGTTAACTCTGAAATCCCAATGATCTCGTTCGTGAGACTTGGTGAATGCTCTTTGTCCAAGTCTGAGATTCTTAACAAACTCCTGAGCAACTCCCAGCAAAACCACGACACCTTTGTGCACCGCAACATGCAGTGTGGCGACAACCCGAGAATAATCTCCAATGGACTCGCTGAACTTACTTGGTATCTTCCCTGTGGAAATAAAAACATTGACATCTTTGATGAACCAGTGGCAGTCGCTAACCTCCGTGGGAATAGTTCCTCGTTTGAAACTCAGTTCTCCTTTTTGTGTCAGGCATCTTCAGCAGTTTTTATTTTTTACGATTCTTTAGAATATGAATGGAAGCAATTAGCAATGTTAAAAAACAAGGCAGAGATATTTCTTGTTGGTAACTATCAATGTGGTAAAATATGTATGAAAACATTACAAAACATTGTAAAAGACTTATGCCTAAAAACCAGTAGCATCATCATGAAAACTAAACAAATGAATGATGCAGACTTTGTTGAGAAAATACATAAAGCTATGAGAAGCGCAATTGAAAACTCAAAAGTGAGAATTCAGATGGAGCAGATGACGAGCATTGCTCATGAATTGGGAGTTCATGTTGATGAAGACAGTCCTGAGTGTCAGAGAGCAAAGCTAAATGCTGATGCGATCACAGCAGAAATCCAAGATATTATGATGTTCAAGGAAACCCAGCTGCCCATGCAAGGGCAGATTTGGAAAGACGTTACTTCTTTGGAGAAGGAACAATGCAGGCTCAGAAAAGCTGGTTCTGAGAACATAGATGAGTACAAATTTAATCTTGATGGACAAATAAAAGAGCACCGTCAAAAACAAATCTCTTATGGTATTTCACAAAGTATGAACATCTTCCTCACTGGCATCAGCAGCCCAGACAATGAAAGGTGCTTTTTCCTGAAGTGGCTGAGAATAAATCTTGACGATATTTCCGGTAATAAACTGTCATGGCTCAGAGAGCAATATAAAGAGAAATCAAAGGAGTCTAAAAGTGAAATAAAAGAGATCCACAGACAACTCTCCAGCAGTTCATTAGGAACGGAACACTTCTTCAGGGAAATGGGTCAACTCTACGAGGCTTCATTGTCTCTTCCAGAAGAAGACCCTTCACGCCAACAGCTGCAGCACCTTCCCAAACTGTGTGCACAGCTTCTGATTGATGGTTTTCCTCTGGAGCTGGTGGATGGAGATGCCTCCAACATCCCTCTCAGATGGGTGAGTGATGTTCTGACCCAGCTCCATGAACTGGTGTCTCCTAACAACAAGATTCTGGTGGTCACAGTCCTCGGAGTCCAGAGCACAGGGAAGTCCACTCTCCTCAACACCATGTTTGGAGTGCAGTTTGCAGTGAGCAGTGGCCGATGCACGAGAGGCGCCTTTATGTTACTCATCAGAGTCAGTGAAGATATGAAAGCTTCTCTCAACTGCGACTTCTTAGTGATCATCGACACCGAGGGCCTCAAGTCTCCAGAACTCGCTCAACTGGACGATAGTCACGAGCACGACAACGAGTTAGCAACCCTTGTGGTTGGATTGAGTGACATCACCATCATCAATATTGCTATGGAGAATTCTACAGACATGAAAGACATCCTGCAGATAGTTGTGCACGCTTTCCTCCGAATGAAAGAAGTGGGTAAAAAACCCAGATGTCAGTTTGTTCACCAGAATGTTTCAGATGTTTCAGCTCATGACAAGAACCTCAGAGACAGAGAACTGCTCTTGCAGCAGTTAAATGATATGACTGAAGCTGCAGCTAAGATGGAGAGAAAAGAAGAGAATAAGAGCTTCACTGATGTCATGGACTATGACCCCGACACTGGAAACTGGTACATCCCTGGACTGTGGAATGGAAGCCCCCCAATGGCCCCAGTCAATGTAGGATACAGTGAGGCAGTCCAAGAACTCAAGAAAAATGTTGTGCTCAATTTGGGAAAATGTGGATCATCTGTCAATGATATAAAGGAGTTCTGTGAGTGGATCACAAGTCTGTGGAACGCAGTGAAGCATGAAAACTTTATCTTCAGCTTCAGAAACAGCCTTGTGGCGGATGCATACACGAGACTGTGCACAGAATACAACACATGGGAATGGGAGTTTAAGAAGGCCATGTTTTCTTGGGTTACAAATGCAGAGACACAAATTTGCAACATTGGCGTAGTGGCTGAAAAGTCTGATATTGGCCAAGTTCTTGCAGATCTGAAACTGGAGGCTCAAACAGAATTGTACAAATCGGAAACAGTTCTTCTTGATCACCTCAAAGATTACTTCAAGCAAACAGAAGGACATGTTCATCTGGTTGAAGGATACAAGGAGCAATTTTTAAACAGCGCAAAAATGTGTCGAAGGGAAATAGAAAGCTCTGTCATAAATCAGCTCACAGCAACTGCAGAAATCAAGCAAGCCATGGAAAATGTTGACAAAGTTAAAGAAAACCACACAAAACACTTGGGAGAAAGAGTGTGCGCTTTGATTGACAAGTGCAGAAAAGAAAAAAGGACATTGACGGATAAAGAGCTAAATTCAGAATTCAACAGAATGTGGGAGACGACTGTGACAAAGATGAAGGAATCTGTCTCTTCCACAAAAACTAAAGATGTTTTTGTACAAATATCTCACCAACTAAGAGCAAATATCTCTTACAGAGGCAGTTATGCAAATGAATTAGTCTCAGAAAATAAACTACACAAATGTGGTTTGGTGGACTTTGTTGTGAAGCCTGAAGGTTTCATTAATAAATTAAAAAATAAAAGTGCCAAATGGTTTAACTTTGAGGATAAAATAAAGGCTGGTCAAAAGTTGGCAGAGCGCACTATTACTGTGTGCCAAGAGCTTATCTCAGAAAAAGTGGAAATGGGAACAGATTATCACGACACCTACATCCAAGAGATCCTCAGAATGATTGATGATAAGTTGAATTGTAATCGTCATGTTCACATTGAGACAGAGTTTGAGGTTTCACTGAAACTGCACATCTGTGGATATGCAGCCAGAAGGTTTCAGAAAATGCATGAGGATTTTCTGCATAAAAACGATCCTTTTGTACATCTGAACAATAACAAGGACAAGTTTTGTGCTGATTTCAAAGATGTATTTAATGAAAAAGACCAATGTCAAAAAAAGGCAAAAGAATTCACAGATCTGTGCCTGAGACCTGCCGTGGAACGCTTCGTGAGTCGCTCTCTGGGGCCTGACATTGTCAGTGAAATGCAGACTTGTCATCAGTTCAGCACACGGACAGCTTTCCAGTACCATGTGTTACTCGACCTAATCACAAATGAGCAATTTGAAAGATATTATCACTATATTTGCAACTATGAGGTCTTTGTTAAAGGATGGATACATCAGCAAATAGTGGAACACTTTTCAAACAAAGAAACAATATCAGAACTTGAGAATAAACATCTTCAGAAATGCTTGGGAGACATAACTAGTGCCATAAAGAAAGCCTCAACAGAAAATTGCACTTTAAAGGAATTTGTTGAGGTTTTGTGCAAAGATCTAATGGATAAACTGGTGATTTCCCAAGATGCACTGGGAGCTTTTATGATCCTAAACAATGCTGATCAAGAACAGTTCGCACATTGGCTCACGAAGTGTGTGTCTGACATGATCCAGACTCTAAAAAACACGTTTGAGGAAACAGAGGTCGATGCTAAACTCACACAACTGAGTCTGAAGCCTCATCAAGAGCTTTCTGACAGGATGATCGGGTGCGGGCAGCAGTGCCCCTTTTGTAAAGCACCATGTGAAGCTGGAGCCAAAGGTCACAAAGAGCACTGGGCCTCTCTCCATCAGTCACAGGGGCTGGGTACATACAGAGATGTTTATTCAGAAAAACTCGATAGAGACATATGCACAACTCTTGTTCAAAGTGATATAGAATTTCAGTGTTCGGACACTGATGAGGACTTGCATCCTTACAAGAGATACAGAGAGATATACCCAGACTGGAAAATATCTCCAGATGCCAGTCTTGAAGCCTCCGATTACTGGAAATATGTTTTGAAAAGGTTCAATTGTAACTTTGCAAAAGCATACGACGCAAAACGTGCAAACATTCCAAAATCATGGAAATCCATTGGGAAAAAAGAAGCCATCAAAAGTCTTCAGACGTCATTTTGCATGGAATAAGCAACATTTAGATCTAATAACATGGTCATAACAACACAAACAACTTCTAATTTCAAAAATCAAATCTATCCCAGCGTCACCGTTGTTTAAAATATACTCAAATATAATCAAGAATGTGGAGGTGTGGTCCTTTTTGGGAGCAATCTACAAAAAATCTGAAGGAAGTGTGGGAATAAGATGTGGGAATAAGATGTGGGAATAAGAATAATTAAATTTGGACACCCCTGTAATATTAAATTTTTAAAGCTTTTTATTGAATTTACTTTTAACGTCTTATTGAGACTGTATATGTAGGCACAGCATTTAATGTTAGAATACATTAACATAGCATACAGTTGCCACCATGTGGCGTTCGCCTGTTTTGAGTAGAATGTGAGGGCCTCAAGTGTAGTAGAGAGAGAGAATGTTCCGAGGGAAACGAGAGTTACGGAGAACAACGATTGTGAACCTGCAGTTGCCTGTTGTGCCGAAGGACAATAAAACCACTGTTAATCATCAGATCCTGCCTCTTCTTTAAACGTGCAACAGAAGCTTACAATCATTATACAATCAAATCATAACTTTATCAACTGTACTTTTTGACAATTGCCTGTTGAATATGATTCTACTTGTACAGTAGGTCGATATATGGGTTTTACTGGTCCCACCTCTGTCCAACCGTTGACTTGGTTTACCAAAATGATCAGGAATAGTATGTTTATGTAAGTTTATATTTTATATCTCCTTGACTACTGCTTGCTTGAGATCACATTTAAAATAAAGGAAATAATTATATATAAATTCAATGTTGTCTTTGTATAAGAATCTCTTCAGATGTAGATATAGATTTATCTAGGCACGTGGGTAAAATGGTACTTTCAGTGTCATCCAGCCAACTTCAGCTCAACCGATAGTCATGCCATACCTTATTGTGAAGCTCAGAACCTTTGGAATCCAGTCATTAACTTTATTTTTTATATACCGACATTTGCTTTTGCTTGTGTCACAAAATTCCATATGACACTAATGTAGCTGTGGTGTGAATCAATATGGACATGTAAAAAAAAGAAATCTATAACCGATGATTGCCACCACCATGTGACATCCCAATGTGCTAATTATAATGGGTTAATTTCATTCCTACATAAACTTTGGCCATCCTTAATATTTCTCTAATTTACAGAAACCCTCTTATCTCAGGTGTCTCCAGAGCTACTTTTACAGGGCGATAAAGGCAGAGAGCTACTGCTCTAAGCTGTGCTGGAAAAAATGTGGTGATATATTGGTGTGCCTTATATTGGGTACAGTCATTATTTATCCTTACATTTTTGATACTAGTGCACAATGCAAGTAGCCTGACGCTCGCCAGACCCATGTACAGTAGGTCCCATTTCGTTTTGTCGTCTTCATTCACGCTTTTCGGGAATCACGCAGCTGCGTGAAAAATATTACATCTTATTGCCACAAGGTGGCAGGTTAAGTCCGCTTTAGCTCTGCCAGCGACTTAGACGCTCAGGTATCACACTGCGTGCAAACCTTTCTGGCCCAGAGATTCTATGTTGGCCGAATGGTTAACATTGAAGGCTGGGACCTGGAGAACCCAGGTTCGATTCTTTTCTGAGGCAATTTTGGTTGCACATCTTTTGGTTGCTTGTGTGCAATTACGTAACGTTATCAGATTGTTATCTTCTTTCCTTGTCAAAAGGAAATGTGTAAAATTGGCTGTGTGGTCAAGCCGTGCATGTGAATGTATATGTGTTGCTTTTGAATGCTTTTTCAAAGTAAGAGCATAACAGACAACATATACATATTTAGTACTAATGTTAATCTTTATAATTAAATTGCATTAACGTATATATGTGATGCGATCTGGGAAAACCCGTCGGATGTCACGCTGGCACGTTCCGAGTAAACAGTAAAAATAGGTCGATTGTCATTTTTTTGGCAAAATTGTTTTTTCATTAAACAATTATTATATAACATCTTGTCTTTAATGTCTGAAAAAATCTAGGTGAAATTCACTAGTGTTATACGTTAAATATTGTGATATGTTTTGATAAACCGAACGTTACGTTACATCCTCCGCTCTGGCCCCGGGAGCAGCTGCTGTGACCCCCGCTCTGACAGCTCAGTGAACGCACTGCAGTCTGGGCTCCGAGCGCGGACCATAGACACGCGAACAGAACCACAGACAGGACCATAGACACCCGAACAGAACCACAGACAGGACCATAGACACCCGAACAGAACCACAGACAGACATTTACATTTACATATACGCAGACAGAACCCAGACAGGCGGAGACACGCGAGACACGCGGATCATAGACACTTGGACAGAACCAGAGACACACGAAGCATAGACACTCGAGTCGGACAGGTCCATTTGTTTTATTTGTGTTTGAAGTTACCTAAGTTTCTCCTTGCATTAAAAATGCTTGGTGGTTGTGGATATTTAGACTGCGTGATTTGATAGAATAATACTGGCAATGTCTAATACATATCTAATTTTCAGTAAATTATAAAGAGAAAGAAAAAGAAGAGGTCAAAATTCAATCCATTGAATATTGAAAGAATCAATACATTCTTGATTTTCGACTAATTTATTTATTTATTTATTTAAGTAGGGACAGTACATATTAATGAACATATAAAATATGTAAATATGTCAGATTTTAGCCATAGGCTAATTTCCATCTGTTGTCCCTAGACAGGCTGATGTGAAACTTCACATTGAACATTTAACAATGACACAAAAGAAAGTCACAAGACAGTACAGGAACAGAACGACTGCAGGACAAGGAACAATGGGACCACAAGATACACATTCAAATATACTGTACAAAGAACATTAGGGATCTCAGGCAAATACAATGACAAAAGACTGGACACGACAGAGGACAGGGAGGACAGGGAAGGGTGAGGCAGAAAATGGGAGCGAAGGCGGTTCACTTCCACAAACCCAGGGGAAGACTTAATTCATTAATTGCTACGGATTTATAAAAATCTAAAATTTCATTACGTTTTTTTTTTTTTTTTTTTTTTTTCTCTTTAAAATACCTATCTAAAATGCTGTGGTGCCCTAAGGTACGTTTTACATAAAATGTTATCGATTATGTTGACAGGTTTGCGTTGATCTGAGCCATTCCTTTAAGTGATTTTTAAATGATTTGAAGCTGATTGCCTCCCTCACAGTGGTTGGTAGTTTGTTCCACTGGACACTGCCTTTATAGGACAGGACATTTTGACCAAAAGAGGTTTTCCTCACAGGAACCTCACAGTCGCCTCTGCTCATGGACCGAGTTGTTCTCGAGGCACTTGTTCTGTATTTAAAATATCTTGTTAGGGGTGGTGGAGCCAACCCATGTAAGCTTTTATGAATTAGACAACAGTTTTTGAATGTTATGAAATGTTCAAAGCTCAATAAATTATATTTGGAGAGGATATTACAATGGTGGTAACTAAATGGTTTTTTATCAAGGATTTTCAGTGCCTTTTTATAAAGTCTTTCAATTGGTTTAAGAATTGTTACACCTGTCAGAGACCAACTAGTTATACAGTAGCTTACGTGCGAAAAGATCATACTATGTAAAAACATCATAGCAGCTTGATCAGTCATTGACCTGCGTACTTGGTTGAAGTTGGACACATTAAATCTAATTATTTTTGATATCATTTTAACATGATTTTTAAAGGACAGCGTAGAATCTAACAAAACACCAAGATATTTAAACTCTTGAACTAATTGCAGTTCTTGCTCTCCAAAATATACATTGGAGCGGGCAATATTAAAGTTTTTTTTTGAGAAATACATACAGACTGTTTTCTGTGCGTTTAGCTGAAGACATGATCGAGTAAGCCAATGCTGGATTTGAGTTAGGGCTGATGTAAGAATTTGGGCTGCTTCCTCAGATGATTTTGCAGTTGTATAAATCACCGCGTCATCGGCGTATAGTTGAATGTCTACATCCTTACAAACATCAGGTAAATCATTTATAAACAGTGAAAATAAAATATTCATGAGTGTTGTGTGTTTAATTGGTGCCAAAGTAACATCTTTTTAATCTTCTACAACATAGTGACTAAAACAAGTGTGCCATAACAGAGTAATTCAAAATTTACATGTTATATGACTGTGATGATTATGTTTAGAATGTC